AGGAAGAGTGGTTGCTCCTCAAGGGAGCGATCCTCAATGCATAAGCTAATTCTATTCCATCTTGGAGGAAAGGCAGCAAAAGGGCACAGCAGCCCCCCTGGCTCTCCCGGGATCTAACAGACCTCCTGAGGCTAAAAAGAAAGGCCTACAAAGGACAGAGGATGGGATTCACCTACAAGGAGGAATATTCTGCACTGGTCCAGTCCTGCAGGGAGTAAACCAGGAAAGTCAAGGCTGCAACTGAACTCCAACTAGCTTCGAGTATCAAGGACAATAAAAAGTCCTTTTTCAAATATGTGGGGAGCTGGAGGAAAAGCAAGGGCAACATTGGACCCCTGATAAACCAGATGGGAGAACTGATAACAGACATCCAGGAAAAAGCCAACCTATTAAATGGGTACTTTGTGTCAGTCTTTCATCAGTCCCATGGGATGCCTATGCCCACTACGGGACAGGGAATTCTGCATGAAGGAGATCCCCTGCCCTCCAACAATGCTGACGTCATGAAGGAACAGCTTGAGAAGCTGGATACCTTCAAGTCAGCTGGCCCTGACAATCTACATCCCAGGGTACTCAAGGAGCTGGCGAGCATCATAGCCCAGCCCCTGGCACAAGTCTTTGAGAACTCCTGGTGCTCTGGTGAAGTGCCTGAAGATTGGAAGAAGGCCAATGTGGTGCCTATGTTCAAGAAAAGGAGGAAAGTGGAGCTGGCAAACTACAAGCCCATCAGCCTGACCTCTATCCCGGGGAAGGTTTTAGAAAAGATTATTAAAGAGGCCATTCTTAACAGACTGGCCAATGCCAACACCCTGAGGGATAGCCAGCACGGTTTTGTTGCAGGTAGGCTGTGCTTAACCAATCTTATCTCCTTTTATGACCAGGTGACCTATCACCCAGACAAGGGGGAAGAGATTGATGTCATATCTCGATTTCAAAAAAGCCTTTGATCTGGTATCTCATGACCACCTCTTGGCAAAACTGGCCAATTGTGGCCTTGGGTCCACCACGATCCACTGGCTGGGGAACTGGCTCCGTGGCTAGACCGAGAGGGTGGTGATTGAC